TTATTGTAGGAAAGTCTAAACAGTAAATCCCAGTATTATAACTATTATAAGTAGGTGTAGCAGGGGGAGGGGGAGGAGTGAAAAAAAATAGATATAATGGAATAATTAGAGTGCATCAAGTAAATAAGTGAACAGTTATCTTTTTCTTTCAACTTTCATTGGGTAATATAAGGTCCATAAAGGAATCAACTACTGTAAAAACAAATTGTTTGGGACTTTACCTAAAGTACTTACAGTGTAAAAGAACTTCAGGAACTTTTGCAGAGGTGTCTCCCTGATATAGGCATATTCAAAGGCTTGGACTCTGACCCACATCCCATGTCAATGGGAGTGTTCAGAATTTTAGAGACTTTGCTTAGGCTCTCACAGAGTTACATGTGTGCTCTATTTCTTCAGTGGAGAAGTTGTTGAGAGCTCACTAAGTTTTCCTTCTCTTCATTTTCCTTAGTCATAAGATTTTCCCATGTAAAAATGGGAGGCATTTGTACAAACTCCTGCCCCATACAATGCAGTAACTTTCTGAGATTTGGGATTCATCTGTGCCAACATTGTCTTGCTAAATAGTTCTCATAGGCCAGCTATCATAGGTTGTAACGTGGAGATGTATTCATGCACCTCACTTTACAGCTTAAAGGGAGAAAAATGGTGATGCAGTAGTATCATGTGCTGAACACCTAGAATTGACAAGCAGCAGTAGCAAGAGCAGTGAAGTGCTTTAAAACAGAATATGCTGCCTGGATAATGAGACCATCCATCTGGGCAGGAAGCCTGTATGACCACCTATAGGTTCAGCTCGTGAGCCATCGTGTTTTCCCATGCTTGGGAGAAAGTGAGTAATTTGATACACGGACCACAGATTTGGAAAGTCTTGTTTCTGAAGTCTTTGGCCTTTGGTAGGAATGTAGCTGCTACTACTGAAGTATCATTGCCTCTCTCTGCAGAATCTCTCAAACTAAATGCTGTATATTTTCCTTTTCAAAAAGAAGGTGCTGTTTTGCATGACTCCCGACACTAAAAACAGCAAGCCATTTCTTCTGCCAAAAAACTGTTTAAATATGGATGTGATAGGAACAAAGGGAGGAACCAATCAAGGATGGTAGAGGCTGTAGTCCTTATTCTCCAGTGACTCCTGGCATGACATGGAAAGAGTCACTCAACTTCTCTGTGTCTCAATTTCCCATCTGTAAAATGGGGTTAAAATACCTACCTCACAGGGGTGTTGTGAGGCTTTTTAAAATAATGTTTGTAAAGTGCTTTGAGATCCTTGGATGAAAGGTGCAATAAGAAATCAAATTATTCACTTTTTTTAGTGCAATACAAGAGTGCACTTCTGTTCAGATGGCTAAAGGCTTCCAGCTCTTTATAGCTATTCCACATACTCTTCACTATAATTTCCCTCCTGTCATTTGTTATATGTTTGGAGTTAAAAAGAACAATTTTGCAATCAAGAATACCTAAATTGTCTTAGTATTTATGCAGATGAGGGCTAAAATAATCTGATATTCTTTTTAAACTGTGTTGCATATTCCTTGTCCGTGCAACCCTAAAGCTAACAGAAAAAGGATATATGATAACATTGTGTGCTCTTCATCTAAACTGGCTAACTTGTGTCTTTTTGAGATAAACTCAGTCTCTTCACCAAATAAAAAACCTGTAATTTGGGTCAATGGTTACAAAACTTACGTAAGGGGTAAAGTAGGTGTTTTAGTCCTATGTGTTTTGCAGTCATTTAACAAGCAGCCATTAAACAGCACAGTGTAAAGGTAGTTACCGAGTTAAAGGTTAAATCTTAGGAATCATAGAAAAGTGAAATGAAAGCAAGATTAGATTTTACAGAGCTGAGTCAAAGAAAAGCAACATAGGTTCACATAGAGCTGCTAGGTTAACGTACTTAACTATTACACAAGCTAATTCAGTACTTAAAATTTCAGTTTAATAAACAAGTAACACAGGTGCTTCACTAAAGCAGGCTCAGCGTCCAACAGGCTGTTACTGAAGAGATGACATAGTATACATAAATATCCTTTTCATTAAACTTAACTGCTGCATGGAGAAAGTAAATATAAGAAAAGGTCAGAACTTACAAGAGGAGGAATGAAACTTGATTAAAACATTTTGTTTTCCTGCCTCTCTCATCTGGGAGTCATGCTTTACACTTTCTTCTCCTCCACCACCTTTTTTCTTCCTCTTTTTTAGGATTGAACGGGCAGGAGAACTGAAAAGGATATAACCAAACAAACAGAATAAAAAATAATATAGTCACAACTTTCACCCAGCTTCACCTACTCAAAAGGAATTTACCTGTCTTCACTCATACAGTACGTGATTCATATTTTGACTTTTCACTGTTGTGGAGGCAAAGTATAACATATTCCTCCCATTAGTGATCATTTACATGACTCTCATTCATGTAAAAACAAACACAAAACCTATTTTTTAAAAAAAACAAAACCTGAAACTTTTCACACTTCAAAAGTTGACCTAAAATAGTCACTGCATACCTGAACAGTTCTCTGCATGGCTTGAGAAAATACAATTTTTTCCTACTCTTTATTTCAGTATCCTGTTAGAGCTAGATCTTGACTGATTTCACCAGTGTTTGTAGGTATTTCACCCTAAACTTGAAGGCACTGGCAATTTTGGAGCTATAGCTCACTGCATCTTTAATTACTTTGATGTTCCTTCTGCTACATCTGACTGTCCATCAGACGTAGTTACAAGAAGCACCCCACAAAAGCAGCAGGTTCTACTGAACAGTCTTCTTGGTGTCAAGTTTCATCTTTAATATTTAAATTAATGTGGGATTTGTTTGTACATGTCATTTCAGAAAATTATTATTAGTGTATTAAAACATTTGCTTTTCAAATAGCAGAAACTAATTATCCAGTAATCCTTAACTGCCTACTTCTCTGCAGTCATTCAAGATGGAAGTTTTTCAAATAGGAAGTGTAAGTGGCACCCCTTGCTTTTACACTAAAAATCTGATACTCGGATACACTTAGTTTTTGAGGGACTGAAACATAAATATGAATTGTGATTATCTTGAGAACAACAGCAACTAAAATAAAACCACCTTTAGTGATAAATAGGTAACCCACTATTGACTTGGAGTATCTTTTCGTGTAAAAATACCATACATCCATCCCTATTAATTATCTTTCCACTGTATTCAGTAGATAATATATAATATTTTACCATTAGAGCATTTTTCCCCTAGATGTAGCCTAGTCATCTGCAGTTCTGCTGCTTAACTACAGCCTACTATCATCCCAGGATCCCTAACCACTGTGTAGAAGGAATACTATCTTGTGGCTGAAATATTAATTATTGTGCTGTTGAGCTTTGTATTTAGAACTCTGATTTATTATCTTGTCCACTGACACAAAAATTATTTCCTATCATCAAAAGGTTAGTGTGCAAGCCACCTACTACCTGAAATTTCCCACTTTGATTTGTTTAACCCAGAACATAAAAGTCACACTTTAGAAAATGCTATGTGTTTAGGTGTGCCAGTGTTGAAAATACACCTAGGCTGAAAAGATGCTATCAGAAGCTGATGGAGTAGCTCTTGAGCAGGTGTTAATTGTCCTGGCTCTAATAGTTTCTTTCAATTTGCATCTGCTGAAAAATTGGCCTAGCATGTCAATGTGATGACAGATTTGGGAACTAACTTTTCCAGTTGTGATGCAAAACATTTTAATACTGCTTGAGTAGCCAGTTTTCAAAATATAGTTTCTGAGACGTTCATTAGTAAATAATGATGAATGTATATGTGTTTTAAGAATGGGTCTAAGAATGGCATAACTTCTGAGTCAACATGAGATATCAGAAAATGCTCTCTGGATGATATTCATCTGACCAAATATGGATGTCTTTAAGGTAGGCATCTAGTCTGAGTCCCTATGTTGTCAATGAAGAGAAACAGGCACTTCTAGTAGTTATTAATTTTATTCTCAAGAAGATATTTTAACCAGATCAGGTGAACTGTATCCTTAAAATGTCTGTTTCTCTTACTGACTAAGGACAGGAACATCGAATAGCCTACTTGGATATAGATGCCTGCCTTGCTCATGTCTCAAGTTAGGTGAGATGAATCTCACCCTCAGGGCCTTACATTGGCTCCATCTTGTTAAGTTGTCCATTAGTCAACAGCTGCTAAAACAAAGCTAAGTAAAATGTGGTAACTCTGCACCATTATGTTACAATACACAGGACAGTAGATAACAGCCCTATCGTACATGTATGACCATATAATTTGGGCTAGTGTATGTACTTAAAATTATATTGTGCATGTAATTGCTTCTATCTTCCTTTCATGTAGCAACTCTTTTAAAATTCTCACTTCTCCACAGTTGCATAGTTAAACTGAGAGATTTTGATTTCTACTGATGGATCCAATAAGTAAAATGCCATTTTGATCTTTGCATATAGTTATTGGTTATCTAGTGTTAATGGTGTGTATGGTGTTTAAAAAGTGACAGTTTCCTGCTTGGTGTATTCTTTCTCTTTTGGTGAATGGTGTTCATCAGTAAGAGAATAAATCCAATAGTACTCACTCCTTTGCCATCTACTGTATTTACAGGAAATGCAGGAGTGAGAAAAGTTGGAAACATAGGCAATTATGTCATATTAGTGATATAATTGTAATAAAATCCAAAAAACTGTAAATATAGAAGTGAAAGGAGAAACATAAGTATGCCATAATATTTAGCAGTAGTGGTAATTAGCATTTTGATTGCCTTTTTTCTTATCAGTTATGTGAAAGAAATTCATGTGGATAGCAAATAAACAAAAATAGCCTTATGGACTATAGAGAAATTAACTTCATGTGGGCTTTAGTGTTATGGAATTGCTGTATGATTAACAATATTTGACATGCAGTTTGTTTTCTGTCCGTGCGATTGCAACAACAGTTCCAATTGTAGCCACTTTTTTCTTTTCTTTTCCTTTTTCTTTCTTTCTTTGTTTCTTTCTTTGTTTCTGTTTTTTATGCAGAAGACCATCAAATGAATTGTCACAATACTCGAATAATGCAAGACACAGAAAAAGACGATAACAATAATGATGAGTATGATAATTACGATGAACTGGTGGCCAAGTCATTGTTAAATCTTGGCAAAATTGCAGAGGATGCAGCATACAGAGCCAGGACAGAATCAGAAATGAACAGCAATACATCTAATAGTCTGGAAGATGATAGTGACAAAAATGAAAATATTGGTCGGAAAAGTGAGCTGAGTTTAGATTTAGACAGTGATGTTGTTAGGGAAACAGTGGACTCCCTTAAATTATTAGCACAAGGACATGGTGTAGTGCTTTCAGAAAACATTAATGACAGAAGTTATGCAGACAATACTTCACAGCAAGATAATAGGAATATGAACTTTGTAATGCTAGGGAAGCCTGTGAACAATGGACTTACAGAAAAAATGGTGGAGGAGAGTGATGAAGAGGTGTGTCTCAGCAGTTTGGAGTGCTTAAGGAACCAGTGTTTTGATCTGGCTAGGAAACTCAGTGAGACAAACCCACAGGAAAGAAATCAACAGCAAAACATGAACACTCGTCAGCATGTCAGGCAAGAAGATGACTTCCAAGGAAGAACACCAGACCGGAATTACTCTGATATGATGAACCTAATGAGGCTTGAAGAACAGTTGAGCCCCAGATCTAGGACTTTTTCTAGCTGTGCAAAGGAGGATGGTTGTCATGAAAGAGACGATGATACCACCTCTATTACTTCAGATAGGTCTGAAGAAGTGTTTGATATGACAAAAGGTAACTTAACGCTGCTTGAGAAAGCAATTGCTTTGGAAACTGAGAGAGCAAAAGCCATGAGAGAAAAAATGGCAGTGGAAGCTGGAAGGAGGGATAATATGAGATCATTTGAGGAACAGTCTCCAAGACACCTTTCTGGAGATGACAGGAAGCCTAAACCCAGTGACGGCCATGTCAAAAAGCCATATTATGGTAAAGGTAATATTTCTATATACCGTATGTTATATCATGAGAAAGTGTGAGCTAACGTGTTAAGTTTTGCATAGATTTCTGAAATGAAGTTACTAATTCCACAAAATGGGAACTTTATTTAAGTTGTACTAGTATGACATGATTGTAAAATAGCATCATGCTGCCATTCTGAAATAAAATAATTCATTCTGCAGTGTTAGAAATATGTACAGTATTTCAGTGAATATCATTTGGCTAAATTAAAAAAATAACTTTTCAGGGAAACAAAACAAATAAGAGATCATGTTGAAAGAGGCAAAGATTTTTCTCGAGTTTTTAATATATTTTATAGTCATAATTAAAAAACAAGAAAATTATGTTGCAAACTATATTGGAGAGTGGGGTTTTATGTAGCAGGTAGTCAATCAGCTATGAAGTGCATATTTTACAGATTGGATTGGGTAGGTGGCATCATGACTTATAAAATTATCATCAAATGACGGTTATTGATGAAGCCTGTCCCATCTAAAATGTAGAATTGCCTGATAGAAATTGAACAGTATCAGAATGACCGATAACATAAGATAGGGGCAGTGACTGCACATTAATTATCTTAAGATAGTAAGGTAATGGAAACCATTTGCTATGCAAGGCATGGTGTGGCCTGGGCTGAGATCAATAGCAATTTCTTTCTTATGTGCATTCCACTTCACTGGTTTCATTCCATTGTGGAAACAGTTAAGGTGCTGCCTTGACCATAATTCAATACAAAAGAAAAAAAAAGGAAAAAAAAAAAAGAAAAAAAAAAAGAACAGACTAAAGGTTACCTTTAGAATGCCTTTTAATTTATGGGATTATCATGGTGATGGTGTGTTTATATTACCACACCCCTCTTTAACGTGTCTGCATCTGTACATGTAGGGCTGTGTTGTATAAAGTGTTCAATACCTTGTGAGACTCATTGAACACCCCTGATTCCCATTGACTTTAGTGGAAGTTGAGGACGTGGTATTTCTTGGGAGATGCTAAGCAGGGACTGGGTTCATCTTGTATTTGTTGTAAAAATATTTGGTTTCCTTTCTACAACTGAGATGTTCTCACTCTTCTGCAATGTATTTTAGTGAAGCTTTGTTTGTTTTAAACACAAATATATGGTCCGGTGAATATATAGTAGCTTTGGGTACTTGAGGAAGACAACTTATTTAGGTGGGGTATTACTGCATAGCTATGTGGATGTTGTGCTAAGCGTTGTTCGCATATGACCTATTGTAGGAACATGTCCCTTGGAATATGTCTCTAATAAAATCACAGGAAACATGGCAAACCAATATCAATTTTTGAAGACCTTTTTAACTCTGGTGTTGTCCAGCCCTTCCAGTCTATGTATGCCTGGGAAAAGCATTTTCGCATATAGATCTGCTGTCTCCAAAAAGACTATATAATTCTGACAGTAATGAAAGTACAGACTTCCTATTTCAGTAAATTCTACAGCTTCTTTGAACCATCCTGTCTCTTGGGAGCTGCAGGCTGAATTGATAATGGGTCCAAACCCCAGCCAGGGACTAAATACTGTGGTAGTTTGGACCAAGAATCTTTGTGGAGTGGATTGTTCTATGTTTTTTTTTTTTTTTTTTAATAAAGGAGGAAAGAAAAAAATTATTCCTTCCTTACTTTAAAAATCATAGGAAACATTCTGGTATTGTTGAGAGGAAGCTTTAAGACGATTGCTTATATTGTTTGTTCTCCACTCACACATTATCTTCCAAATCCTCCTGGAAGAGATACCCACACAGATGTATGATATGGTTAAGTGGAAACTTTTTGGGTACACAAGTTTGCATAAGAACTACCTCCTGGCTTCAGGAGGTCTGCTTTCAGAGATCACTGAAACAACTGTTAAAGGACCACTAATCATTTTTACTCTGCCATTTAAAGCCTTCTAAACAGGCTTTCTTCTGAAATTTATGAGTTTTAAAACCTTTTCAGTCATCTGACAACCTTCACTCAGGCAATAGTCACATTGTGGCAAGGAGTGAGGAAAGGTTACAGAGTTAAAAAAAAACCTACGCAATATTTCTCCCAATTAGCAGAAAAGGATGTACAAAAGATTATCCAGTGTTTTGTCTGAAGTTGTGGAAAGTTTAGTCAAATGTCTTCCATTAAAAGCAATGGGAAATTGTGCAAGTACAATTTTATGCAAGTTTTGAAACCATTAAGAATAGTATACAGCATCTTTTCTGACTCATTAGACCATAAAGGCTCTTAAGGATCTGAAACATGCTATAACTTTATAGCATAGACTTGAATACAGAGGAGGATTTCCTTGACACTGTATGATGTAAGTGTCTTGATCCTCAGCTGCTCTAAATTAGAATACCTTCATTGACTTTGGTGGAGTTCTGACAACGTGGAGTATCTAAAGTTCCTCTAGTTTGAAGTCTCCAAAAAGCCATTATGGTCTATTAATCATCTACATTTTTTGCAGTCCTTGAATATTGTTATATTTACATAATTTATATTTCATTTGCATTACTTAATCACTTATCTAATAATTTTACACATCCCAAAGTACTTGACTTGAAGAGTCGCTTAGAGTTGTGTATGTATGTAGCTGTGGGCTTGCTGTTCTAGTGGTCTCAGCACAGGCCTATCTGGCAGGAATTCAAATCCCTCCTCTGACATTTGCTCCTTCTGTGGCCTTGGGTTTAGCTTCTTGATCTCTTTGCTTCAGTTTCCTGACGTGTAAGATTATAGTCTTTCCAGGAGTGTTGTGATAACTGTATAGCACTTTGGAGATAGATTTCTATGTGTATTTATCTTAAAGTGCATGAAACAAAGAGCTGTGTTCTACAGTCAACATGCAAGTTAAATAAAATAAAACTTTGTTAATTAGGGAATCCATATGCAAAAGACAAGGTTTAAATGTCATATTAAAATTTAAGAATGGATTTAAGACATGGACAGTCATTACAATGAGCTAAAGAATTTCTCTAAAATGAAGGTGTTCTGGAAGAACTTGGAACGTAAAAGGGTGTGTGTGTATATATATATATATATATAAATATATATATATATATAAGCTACCAGAGGGAAATCAAGGAAAAATAAGTCCACAACTACTGAATATGAACTCTGAATTGTATTGATTTATGCTGTAAAAAATGGATTGTATGTGAAGTTCTGCAAGTACTGAAACTTCCACTGATTGTGCTGAAGGTTATTTGTTGAAGCTGGGGTGGAATTTAATGTAAGAAAGACTTAATGGAAAATAAATAGCAAAATCTTATTTTCCAGAGACGGAAGCATAAACACTGAAGCAGAGCAGCATAAAATACTTAAATGAGGGTAGTTCAGATTGGGTATTGAAAGGAGGATGGACTAAAAAAATGGAAGGATGATGTTGGTTGATTTTGAGCCAAAATGGCAGCAGTTAAGAGTATCCTGAATTTTATTCTTTGATACTAATACAAAAAATCAGCAATTGTTTCTAAAATCTGTCAACTGTGGTCAAAACAATAAGATGTAATTTGTATCATGTGCTGGGGTCGAAGTGTAGGGATGTTGTTTTACAGATATTCTGTTAAAGAAAACAAGCTGATGAAGTATGTAGGAAGGTTCTAGTTCAGGATTAATCTCACCAGCAGTTCCACTACATTATTGCCAGAAAACTTTATTTTGTTGGAAAAATGTCTATTTAGACTTTTCATTGATTTGTAGACAGAAAACCCAACAACATTCTAAAAGAACATTAACCTTTTAAGCATTATATATGCGTGTTTGTAATGGCCCAAATTTACACAGCAAGTGATGCTTTCAGTAATTCTGATTACAATGTTTACCCCACCATAATTTATTGAAGAGAAAGGAATATTTATATAATTTCTACCACTTCATAAGGAATTTAAAGAAAACAGGAGTCATCTCCTCAGTGACCCTTGGAAAAGCGATTTATTTGTGCTGAATTGTGGAATTGTTATGCTAAAGAGCTGGGTTTGCTACTCTCAGGACATTGAACTGCTATGACAGTACTTTTGCAGACCTTAATACATCAGGCAAATAAGAATGTAAAGAAGGGAAACTCCAACTAAATAGTTTCCAAATGACCTTACACCCTTGAGCTGATGCTTGCCAGCAGAACGTTGATTGACAGTGGTATGGCTTTGCTATAAAAAGGTCACTTTCCAATCACTGTGAATGGATATTGCTGTGATCATAGGAGCTTGCAGTCTGAAAAGAAGATAACGGGATAAAAGTGACAGAACTGTGTTAAGAAGTAGAAGTTGGGGTTTTTTTTTTTTGGTCTGGTTTTCATAAGAACATTTACCAAAGAGTAAATGACATGATTAAATGAACCTTCTTACAGAAATGTGAAAAGCATCATTCACTTGACACATTTGTTGTAAATTATAGATCCCTCAAGAACAGAAAAGAAAGAGAGCAAATGTCCTACCCCTGGGTGTGATGGAACTGGCCATGTAACGGGGCTTTACCCCCATCACCGCAGTTTGTCAGGATGCCCACACAAAGATAGGGTCCCTCCAGAAAGTAAGTTCACATTGTTTCATGGAAACCGGGGATAAAACTACAAAGATTTTTCTAGCATGCTTTTTCAACCTTTTATTTAAAAAATTAATTTCATTTTTCCGTATGGTTTGTCTCAACTTAGTCAACTGTTCTGTGTTATACTTTTTCCTTTATTCCATCATTTCCATTCTCTACTAACTTTTACACTAAAAGAACAACTTTTAAAGCTGTATTCTTTGATTTTAAGAATCCTAGGTTATTTTTAAAGAGATGTATTCAGTCAACAGAGAAAAAAGGTTTCCAGAAGATGTGCACTGCTTTTACTTCCGCGTGCTGCTGTCACATCAGCTGTCCCTGTTGTCTTGTACAGGAATAATTGTACTTGAAAAACTTCCAACCCCTTTCCTTTGTTGTTTTTGTGTCTGAAACATAATTTATATTAAAGTAGTTTATATTATTAAAAATAACAATTTGGCTGTTTACTCAGTTACAGAACTCAGGATTTTGAGCACATATCCCCTGTCAGTCACATGGGTGGAATTCCCTGCCATGTCAGTGGATTCTCTGCAAAGGAGGTTCACCTGAAGGCAAAGGGCTCTCTTTCACACAGGTTTTAAAATGGAGTTATTCCATTGAAGCCTATGGACCTAAAATCCTCACTGTCCATCAGCACTTCCAGACCTAAGCTCAAGAGATTTACAACAGCTAAAGGAAATTTCCCCTAAAGGAAATGTTATAAAGACAGTCAGGGCTAAAATGGTCCCATTTCCAAAGGAAAGTAGATTCTGCAGTATAGGAAAACAGAAGTAGATCAGCACACCAAGACTGGCAGACATAAAAAGTCTCCTCTTACATGGTAGGGTGGCTTCTTCCAGAAATAAAGTGATGAGGAAGTGCTTTAGGAAACTTTGCTGTAGCTTGGTTGATCTCTGAATACAGTAGAACAAATAGAGTAATTTCTCTGCTTTGCAAGACCCTGTAATTTTCTGAAAACCAAATATTTATTCGGTTGCTCAAAGTTCTCTCATTTTTACAAATGGTAAATAAAAAGCTCTTTAGGAGACTTTGTAAATCAAAGAAGAATATAGCTTTAAACTGTTTGCATGCTCTTGTACCTACTAAAATGAAAAAGGTGAGCTCATCTTTTTATTTTTTTCCTGTGATGTTGGCCTTGTGAAGCATGTTTCAAGAACAGCTTTGAATACTAGGAATTTCAGAGTAGAGCTTTTGCATCACGTTTTAGTACACTGATGATGGGGTGATGATGATGGTTATCTTTTAATCAGTATACATGGTTAAATTCTCAAGTCTCTGAACAGCTTTTATTCAGTTCTGAACTCAGCTAAGGAATTCACTGATTTTATTAGATCTTTTTTTTGAGTGAGAACTGGATACAGGCTTCCAGACTACTTCTTGTATGAGAAAACCAGAAGTTTGCAAGGGCTGGATGGCCTTTTTCTGTAGAGTGATGTAATGCCATCCAGCTCCAAGACATGGATTCAGATATGTCTCACATCATACAAAACTCTTTAGTGTTCACCAAAAAGTTCTTGATAATTTGACACTTCATAGCATGAGCTTTATCATTTAGAGGAACACTTCTCTGAGCAGCCTTGGGAGGAAGTTTTTCATCCAGCCTGAAATGGATGCAGATGTAAACCAGTTTACTTGCTTAAGCTTGTACCACTTACTTCCTTTTTACGCAGTTTTCTTTTTTTTTTTTTTTCTGCCATCCTTCAATTTTTTAAGTGCTTGGTTTTAGTTTTTAGTTTTTTGAAAAAAAAATTTCTATCCATTGCAATTTTCACATCTGTAGAGAATACAAGTATAAATTGAAGGAGCAATTCTGCTCATCCTATAGATATGAATGAAATATCTATGTGGAAGTGAGCAGAGCTGGCCCCTAGCTCAATTGGGCTATCTTATAGTTAGGGTTAAATTCTGTTCAGGGTTGTACTGAGGTGTGTTTCAAAGAATTCAGTGTTCCACCAGTATAACTTGAGAGCAGATTTTCAGCTCTTGAGTTTGATACTGTGTGTATAAAGCTATGTATTATGAATGCATACATTTCCTTAAAGAATTTTTCTGGTCTATAATTTTGTATTGGACTGTTGCTAGCTCACCCTTTACTGTGGAGCTGATCTTCACTCAGTGTTTTTGTATGAAGAAGATGTTGGAAGTCTTCTGCTTCACTGTTGCACCAGAGATGCATTTGTTTATAGGTTCTGTAACCTTCATAACTTTCACTGTTGCCCTGTGTTAATGACCGTAGGGTCACAATACTTACTTCCCTCATCAGGCTTTATTGGCTATGTGTGTCACGTGTATTTTGAGGAATGCTGGTTGTTAATGAATCCTGCTTTGTTTTAAAATGGTTTCATATATACTGGGATTTGATTTTTTTTTCTTGTTTTCATACTCTGCTGTTTTCTCTTACTCTCCTTGTCAAGTTCTTGCCATGCATGAAAATGTTCTTAAGTGTCCTACACCAGGCTGCACAGGCCGGGGCCACGTAAATAGCAACAGGAATTCCCACCGAAGGTAAGGATGCCGTCGCTGGATGCCAATCTAGAGGGAACAGTGCCTCCGAACTGCAGCCCTTCTAGCAGTCCATTGGTGGGGGGGTGTGAGTGTGTGTTTTGTTGTTTTGTTCTGAAGATTGACAGATGGTGCTTCGTGTGCTTTAACCATTTTAAAGAGTAACATTTATTCATGTATTTTCTGAGGAGGACAAGTGTGCGTTTGCTTCAGTATGGATGAATTGATCCACAAAAGGCATTTTAAACATCCTTAGCTTTTTGGGTGATTTTTTTTCTTTTTGTTTTGATATTAGCTGAACAACAGTGATACGAAACAAATGGTACAACTCCTTATGGGTATGTTGCAGGGAGAAGGAAGCCAACACTACAAGGACTAGGGCAGAGTTCTTGTTGTAACACTTTACTCTCTTCAGGGATTATTTTATAGTGCATGACAAAATCCACTCTACTCCTAAAAATGATTTTTTTGATATATGAAGAACGGCATTTTAAGTACACAGACATTGTAAGAGTTAGCTTTTCTACTGACCACACGCTCAAGCCTGAAGTCCTTATTCAGCTAAATTTTGAATTTTGCCTGTTTAAGAAACATTATGAAAATGTCTCATTAAATTTAAAAATGAGAAGCCAGAAATGTTAGGTGTAAATATTCTAGACAAACAAAAGAAAATAAGAAAAAAAGCAACTTCATTAGTTCCCTAAGGTTAGCAATAGATTCTTATAGAAGGGATGCTATTGCCTATTAAATTATGTCCAACAAATAACAAAATTATCAAAATATTATTATAGTCTTTAGTACATATCATAATTTTCTGACAGAACAATGATATCTTGCTTATTTCTTTTCAATTTTAAAAAATCCAGCAAATGTGGATAAGAGGATAAAAGGAACTGTGCAAGGTTCCTATTACCGAATTCCTTTTTTACTGTTAATGTAGCCTGAAGGCTTCAGGGACTACACAGGTACTGGACACTCAGTCTTACCAAGCTTTGTGTTACTAGAGCCCCTCATATTAACTGCATGTCTCCCAGAAAACTCTTATGGGTACCAAACCATCTGCAGTAAGCTCTGGTACCCCTTTCTTCTCTGCAGTGATGCTGCCAGTAGATGCAGCAAAAATCTCTGAGAAGGCTTTATGGGAATCACTGCTGCTTGAAGCAGCATTCACTTCTGGTTGAATATCTAGTAGAATATTTGAGGTGTCTGAAGAAGAGAATGTCAGCAGAGCACAGCTGCCCTCTGGCATGACTCCAAAACTGCACAGAGCCCCCTCACCCCTCTACAGAACTAGGGCAGTGAGGGAGGGCTGGGGGGAACGGTCTGCAGTCTGTGCTCACCTCTTTCTGCAGCTTTTGGGGCATGTTGCTCTGCTTCGCTTTTTTATTCTTTTTTTCCCCCCTTATTTCCTGTAGAGAAGGGAACATCTGGGAATGCACTGATTTGCCTTTCATTTTAATTTCTTTTCCTGTGGAGAACACAGAGAGCTGCGGTCACATAAGCACGCAATAGACTATGACAAGGAAAGGACCCCCTCTATTGTCAGGTCACAGGTTTTTACAGCTTCACTAAGAGCACCATCTGCTGGCATCAATATATTTATTTTTCCCTGTTCTAAATCTTTTCCGGAAGAATCAGGCTTATTACTGTCACTTCAGTAATAGTTCAGCATTTGCAAATTTAATTGGATTTCAATTCAAGCACAGAAGTTCTTTTCATGGTACATCATCTACTATTAGAAAACATACTTTAGTGTCTGAAATTCATGAACAAACACTAAGTATAACATAGCTGAGATGTAGAGACCCAAGGCTAAATTTTGCACATATTTATATACCTAGCAAAAAGATTGGATTTAATGGAGCTGAATGAGGTGTGAAGCAGCGCAAGATTTGGCCTATATGGTGTTGTCGTTTAATCATCTTCAGGAGCCATTTCATTGGCAACATTTATAGATGCATAAAGGTCATGAGTCTACTAGCAGAGCTGCACAGTAGATTCCAGTTTATGTTCTCCTCTCCTACTGGTATGTTCACTGGCTGACATCCATGAATAATCTATCCATATACAGTCAGAGAAGAAGAGCAGATGTAAGATTTACCATGCAACTGAAAGCAGAAGAAAGGAAGTCTATTCTAGAGAAAATACATATGACCAGAAAGCTTTGGGAAACTCTTTTCCTTCAGATTCTTCCTGATGCTGGCTAAGGAGGAGAAGGAGTAATTGGATCAGTGCTATAATGTGAAACTACGCAGGACAAGACAATTAAATTTCCTTTCTGTAATTGCAGCCTCTCTGGATGTCCTATTGCTGCAGCAGAGAAACTGGCTAAAGCTCAAGAGAAGCATCAGAACTGTGATGTGTCAAAATCAAACCAGGCATCAGATCGGGTTTTAAGGTATTAGAAATCACTATAATACTTATTATTATGCAGAATTCATCACACATTCACCTAATCTGAGAATTTATATTTATATATGTTGTATATACATATATATCTCCTTTAAAGAAGAGTTAGAATTAGGGCTTCTGGATCCAAATCTCACAGTGTATATTTCCCACTCGATTTACATGGGGGAGGGTTGGTAATTATTTTGGCAAATACATGTAAAGCTGAAAAGCTCATTTTTGTCTTAGGCATTGTTTGGTGTAAAGATGACTGCTGGAGTGCAAAGTCTAAGAACAATGGGAAAAAAGTTGGTATCTTTGGGGAATAAACTAATATTTACCGGTAAGTCTTGGTTTTTTCAGCAGGCTTTTACTAGTAAATATCAGTTTAAATTAAACCAGAAGCCCTATTTGCATTACCATACTGGTAGTACACCTTTTGGCAGGACACTTGGAAAAATGCCAGGTACAGCTTAGATTCCAAAATAAGGTCAGGTTTAGGTCTTTGTCTTTGGTCCCCCACTCACTGCCAGGAAGGACAGAAAGAGAAAAATTGTCTTAAATTTTCATACAGGAAGGACCTTGAACCAATTTGACATACTTATACCTCTTATCTTCATCCATATAGGATTCTGCATTTATCCAAAGCTGTATCCAGCTTTGTGCTATTGTCTCCTCTTTTGAGATATGTGGGTGGAAGAAATGTTATTTCTAAGAAGCTGAAGTGTGAAGGATACATGTAAAGGAACTAGACTTCTGCATGATTGTACCAGCTTTATGCTGATGATGCCCCAAGAGCTGCAGAATTTCTCCATGGATACTGCAGTATCTGTGGGCTGGGATAGGTACATCCCTCCCAGCTGCCTTGAAGAGCGTGGAGGAAGTGCCGCAGCTTTAGTTCCCAGAATTTCCTACTTATCCCATAGGTTTCTTAGTATTTTGCTGTCTTCTAGATTTAAAATCTGATAGGGCTGCTTAAAATGAAAGTTTTCTACTGTGTTATCAACATCATTCTTTGAATATTCCCTTAAAACTTCATCTAATCTTGATGGTCTTTTCAAAAACCAGTCTTTCCATAGAGCTAAGAACACAGAGTTATGGTTCACATCTACAGAAGACTTTTTGTCATGCCTGTTGACTTTGTTTTCCTTCCTCAGATTGTTTTTGATGGGCTTTGTCTTAACTGCCCGTAATTCAGATTGTACGATTTCTCATACAGCATCCCAGGCAGTTTTCTTAGGAAAGAGTTCTTCAAATTCTGTTAATAAAAAACCACCCTTTGAGGGAATAACAGTTTTTCACTTGATGGTAAAAGACAGATCAAAAATGCAGTGACTTTTGCCACGGCTCGTTAGAGGGAAAACACTGAAGTCAGATGCCATACAAAGAAGGCAACTGCTCAAAAGCAGCATCGAGTTTGCTGGCAAACTCCCTAGGACATTGTGCTGCAGTCTTAACTTTGCTTGTGAGCCTGCCCTGTGTTTCAGATTTTATAGGCAACTCAGATAATGCTTCCATCTTGTCTCCTGCTTCCCTTTTACCTTTAAGTCATTGAAGTATTTAAGGTGAAGAACTTGGGAGCTATTTATAATATTTGCATGCAGGCAACTGATGGGCAGACAGAGTTGTTCTAAGAGTAAATCTTGAATATTTGTCTTCATCCCAGTTTCCATCCCACCTGCATTTAAAATTTCTTACTTAAAAAGAAATCAAATTCATAGGACTTTTGTTCCACAGAAATTTTAGATTTACATTGAATGTACAGGATCTGAATTGCATTTTTTTAGCTAAATATAGAGTATCTTGAGAAGGATCAAAATATTATTCATATCAGCTCATTGTATAAATAAGCCCACTGTATTTTGTGAGGAAGGAGTGTCTAAAGGAACGAGCATACATAAATCAAAGGGAATAGTATGACTAATATGATTTCTTGGGTGATCTTTACATAAATATCCTAACTAAATTCTATGAAAATGAATTCATTCAGAAAAACATAATATTCAAAACCTATTTCTTACTATTTATCACATTCCATTTTGTCAGTCAGCATGATGATACTTCTGGTCTTGACTGAATTTATGTTCCTATGAATGTTCCTTCCATTTCCTCTGGTTATAAATAAAGAAAAAAAAAAAAGAAAAAAGACTTGATTATATGATTCTTGATTCCAGCAGAAGCACCTCAGGTATGCGGTTCATCATCTTTGCCTCCTGCTAAACACAGTAGGTAGACATGCTGTACTGTGTAGCAGTTACTCCCTAGGACCCAGTCGTATAACACTTTCTTATATAGGTAAGGCGTGCAGGATCTGACCTTCATTTAGCTGCTTTGAGACCTGATGACTTCCGTGTCTCCACTTGCAGAAGACAGAGTGACAGTGAAGTTCACTACAGCATTCTTTCACTGAGATTTCACAAGTTCCTCCAATGGCCAAATAAGATCAGTCAGGACTTTTCCTGACTATCCTTCCTGATCCTAAACAAAAGAAATATTTAGCTGATACAGTTTTATTCTGTATTAATTCGCAGGACCATCTTTGAAGTGTGCATCTGTGTATCAGGAATCGCAGCTCCTGCCAGAACCTTGAATTTAAGGGTGAGCAGGACCTGCGAAGCAGCAGCTCAAAGTCAACAGAGATTGCGAGACACTCCTGTGTATTTCTCAAGACGAAGATGGATTTGTATATTGAGGGATGAAACAGGACTAGATCCTTTGGAAAGCATACAGGAAAACAGTATACAGCTCTGTTGAAAGAAATTCAGAGGAAACTCCACTAATTAAGTGGAGCTTCCAGCGTTATTTTTTCTTTTTGACATTTAAAGGGATTTGTCCAAACTTCTTCTGTCAGTCTGCTTGCCCCTATTTAATTCACCTCCCAAAAGAGGAAATGTTTGCTATGTGATGCGATTACATGGGGAAAGGGAAACCCTGAAGTATTTTAAAACAGAATATTAAAATACCTTTAGCTACAGGATACATTTAGTGGTATTAGAATTAATTTTGTCTAGGCTTTGTTCAAAAAAATATATATTGTTTGTCTGCTGAAAATAACCAAACTAAGCAAATGCAATAATACATTGCTGCCTCTTGAGTACAAAAAATAACTAAGATTTTTCTAATCTGAACTATAAATTATGCACAAACACAGTAAACTGAACTGCATCTAACAAACTTTACATATCTTTAATTTCTAGGCCCATGTGCTTTGTTAAGCAATTGGAGATCCCTCAGTATGGCTACAGAAACAATGTCCCCACCACCACACCCCGCTCCAACTTGGCCAAGGAACTAGAGAAATACTCTAAGACTACGTTTGAATATAACAGTTATGACAACCATGCCTATGGCAAGAGAGCCATAGCTCCCAAGGTGCAATCCAGGGATATATCCCCCAAAGGATATGATGGTAGGAGGTGCACACTCTTATACATGAGAGACAAGTTTGCAGTTAATCATGTTGTTGTATATGTAAACATCATACAAATAAGATGTGTTTTCATGTTCATGTAGTATTATGAGGAATGCTGTCATGTGTAAATTATTTTAAAGGCCTTTTTAAAAAGTGTTGTTTTATACGGTGCTTGCTTCAGGATTGTTGCACTGGCAAAAGAACATCTCCAGCTATTAAGCTCCTGGGATGTCTTGATATCGCAATAAAAGCTAAGTGGTAGAGCTAGTCCTTATCTTGGTGTCTGGGAGACTCGGCCTCAAGGGTCACATTAAGATTCTCACTTCTGTATATTAGTTCACGTAGCCCATAAAGATAACATACTTGCTCTGTGGGGAAATGGAAGTAGAAAACCTGGATCTCATTGCACTTCAGAAATCACTCCGACTTACTTAATGAGGCATTTCTGATCATTTTGTCCTCATGAATACACCTGTTGAATTCTCTGGAAAGCCTGACATACGTCACATGTTTAGGAGTAGGCTGAAAGTGGCTTCAGTTCGGGAGAAGACAATGGATGGGGTCTGTTAGGCAAGAGGATTTTTATTAGGAGATAAAAAAGAACTCCAGGATAAAGAATGAGAATTTGGATTGTAGCTTTTGGGAACATCCAGAATTTTTAAGAACAATACAATTATGTGTGTGTATATATATATATATATATATATAGGCACTTGGCCTTGTTAAACCTCATAGCACTGGCCTCGGCCCATCGATCCAGCCTGTCCAGATCCCTCTGCAGAGCCTTCCTAACCTCGAGTAGATCCACACTCCCACCCAATCTAGTGTCATCTGCAAACTGATTGAGGGAGCACTCAATCCCTTCATCCAGATCATCAGTAAAGATGGTGAACAAGACCAGTCCCAATACTGAGCCCTGGGAGACACCCCTTGTGACCAACCGCCAGCTGGATTTAACTCCATTCACCACAACTCTCTGTGCTCAGCCGTCCAGCCAGTTTTTAACCCAGCGTAGGGTGCACCTGTCTAGGCCATGAGCCACCAGCTTTCCTAGGAGTATGCTGTGGGAGACGGTGTCAAAGGCTTTGCTAAAGTCCAGGTAGATGACATCCACAGCCTTCCCCTCATCAACTGGGCAGGTCACCTGGTCATAGAAGGTAGAGTGGTGATCGTGCCCCTGTACTCGGCACTGGTGAGGCCGCACCTCGAATACCGTGTGCAGTTTTGGGCCCCTCACTACAAGAAAGACATTGAGGTGCTGGAGCGTGTCCAGAGAAGGGCAATGAAGCTGGTGAAGGGTCTGGAGAACAGGTCTTATGAGGAGCAGCTGAGGGAACTGGGGTTGTTTAGTCTGGAGAAGAGGAGGCTGAGGGGAGACCTTACTGCTCTCTACAGCTACCTGAGAGGAGGTTGTAGTGAGGTGGGGGACAGTCTCTTCACCTAAGTAACAAATGATAGGATGAGAGGAAATGGCCTCAAGTTGTGGCAGGGGAGATTTAGATTGGATATTAGGAAAAATTTATTTGCTGAAAGAATGGTTTGACATTGAAACAGGATGCCCAGGAAAGTGGTGGAGTCACCATCCCTGGAGGTGTTCAAAAAATGTGTAGATGTCGCACTTCAGGACATGGTTTAGTGGGCATGGTGGTGTTGGGTTGACAGTTGGACTTGGTGATCTCAGAGGTCTATTCCAACCTGATGATTCTGTGATTCTATGATATATGTATAAAACCAAACTCTACATTTATCTTTTCTTTTTTTTTTTCTTTTTTTGAATGTTAACAGTTTATTTTTTGGTTAAAATGTTTGATACTACTCACTGAGTACCACAGGAGATTTCAGGCACGTGTCAGATTTTTGTTTAGGAAAACAGAAATGAATATACTGTATAGAACAATTTATGCTGTTGCCTGAACACAGACTCTGACATTCAAACGTAGGTAATTGGAGAAAGGGAAATTTGCTACAGCTCTTGCCTTCATAGTTCTGATATTTTGGATATTTCGCTTTCTCATAGAATCAACAGGCTAGTTCTTGACTATGGCAGAATGGAGAAGAGTTGTGAAAGGCAACATATTTTTGAGTAAAAGTGCCCTTTTTTCTTTTCTCATACACTCGTCTTGTTTACCTGTACCAGAATAAGGGCTTGAACATTATTAGAGGTAAACCAATGACTCTAACTGTGGTTAGTAATCTAATGACTGTACAGTAATATAAGGTAAATGAGATATCAGCTGTTGTCTATATGCCCTGTTTACTCTTGCAGAAAGGAAATAAGCAAAGTATTGCTGGGGATCCTGTGGTCATGCGTATTTTCGGATCAAATTACTGATGCTAAAGCAACTGTTATTTTTCTCATTTAAGACCCTTTTTCAGCAAATAGTTAAAAACTTTTTTTCCCAGATCACCAGAACTTGAAAATACAGGTAGCATTAAACACAAGTTTAACAACGGCCTTAAATAATGAAAGGTTAGGGTGATATAGGTCACTGTCTTTATGCACACTCATCATCCTTTAATAGAAATAGGAGTTTTGTCTGGAGGTAACAGTGGAGCTAGGTTGCTTCACTGCTCAAAAATATGAGCCAGAGAGGACTGAAAGACACTGTATATGTGTGATTCATGCTGGTACAGCAAGTAGACATGGTTCTTGTGTACTCAGAACAGCTGAAGCCCATTGTAGCTGCAGCAGGTTGTTTGCCAGATGAAGGCCTCTGGATTTGTTCCATACTCCTGGCTCTGCAGGAGGCAGCAAATGCTGTACCTGGTTCCAGGTGATGTGTGTGCTGTTTGGCCAGACAGAAAGGCTGACATGGTCCCAGAGATGCGATCTAATTTGAGTTTTTCTTTGTACCCTATCAGTGATTTTCATGAAACCTTTAGGATTCTCTTCAATATGCCATGGGCACTCCATCATATTTGGCCTAAATTTGCAAAGGGTTTCAAAGTTTCTTAGGAAAATCAGCTGAATTAGTTGAACGATGAAGTGATGTCCTGGGCACACTAAAATGGTCACAGTTCTGGCACTGACTTTCAACAGAACAGGGATTTTGCTGACAGTTACTGTAAATAACTGACTATGAACGAGATTTCAGGAAGAGACTCTTCACTTAAAAAGAGAAACTTTTCCTCAAGAAACTTTGCAGTATTTGTAGGTCATTTCATATTTGTGTGTAAAAAAAATTATTAATTATTGCTACTAAAACCATTATGGAGGTACAGAGTGCGCACCTGTTATGTATGTCAGCAAAACACATTTATATAAAAACAGATCTATTTCTGAAAAGTCGTCCTGAAAAATCTGAAAGCAAGCCTAAGGTTTTGGGAGAACTTGCAGTTAAACAGTGCTTTAATTTTTCTGACTATATAAGATGAGACAAATACTCTAAGGATATGAAAAATCTGTAACTTCATGTCTCAATCCTTTTTTAATTGTAAGCTAGCGCTGTATTTTCATCATCAGAGAAAGGGATTATGTGTTCAATAAGTGTATGGTTGTGAGTGACGTAAACATAAAAAGCTCCTTTGTATTGTTTTCTTGATTTTTTTTTTTTCCAGTAAACTTTACTAAAAAACAAACAGAAAATGGATACTTTTGTATTGTGGGGTGGGATGCTGTGATATTTCTTGAGAAAGTTTGTGTTTGTGGCCTTGTTTTTCCTTTGAAACCAGTCTCATAGTGAACTGGATATTTGGCTTATGGTATACAGCAGCAGAGGTAAGAACAGCAGGCAGAGGAGACAGCAACTCTTTCAGTTGCTCAGGTGATGGCAGGAGCTCCTCTCATTCCACCAATAGTTCTGAGTCCTTTCATCAAAACACTGAGAAAATGTTAGAAGTGGGATTCACCTGACCATATCTAGACTTGTACAATGTCAGTACCTATATCTGAGCTCGTCACCCCTTTCAGCTCCAAGGAGAAAGATAGACACTTCTCTGATTCCATACATCTCCTCCTGAAGTGCTTATTTAAAACTGGTCGGGTGAATCATTGCCTGAAAGTTCCTAATTTTTTCTACTGCCTGTATAGGAAACCTATAATGACTGGGTCAGATATCTGAAGTTAGGTGAGATGAGTCTCTCATTGTGGAAATCAGGAAAAGTGTTGAAACTGTAATTCATTTGCGTAACACATTCAGTATTTAGGCAATACTGGGTATGAAGGTGCCTGGGCAGAATTTAATTCCACTCCAAATATCTTCCTTTGGTCCTTTGCATTGTTGTGATCTCTCCCACCCCTCTGTTGTTAATTAGCAAGAGGAGCCTGTAGACTTTGAGAGGTTCTTTGTAATCAGCCCCTAGGCATGTCTGGTGGGAGGCCAGTTTGGGTATGCAGTTGGTTAGATCTGTGTCTGTTATTTAATGGGAAAGGTGTTCCCCACATTTGGGTTCACTCTGGATCACAAAGCATAGGTGGACTGCAGAACTTCCAAAACCTGGTGCCACAGGGTTGAGCGATGTATCGAGCAGAATTATCTGGTATTGAAACAATGCAGCTTTGCCTTCATTAAAGATCAACTTGATTTAGTTGCTTATAAATAAATGATCTTTGTTTCTCCTGAAAAGCTAATGTGAAATGAACAGTCTGGGTTATATGACTCATCTTAAAATGTACAGCTACAGTAAAGTTAAAATAACCATGGCCATTTGTCTCTTAAGTTTTGCTTAAATTATTGGTAATCTAAAAGCTAATCATTGCATAGCATGCTTACAGTACTTTACATCTTCAAAGTGTTTTGCAAGTGAATCACAACACAACTAAATTTTAGAAGCAACTTTCTGTTTATAGGGAAAATGAATTCGAGTGATAACATAGTTTGACCAAGGCCACAGAGGAGTCCATATCAGAGCCTGCATGAGTTTCTGATGGTTAGTCCTATGTGTAAAGCTGCTTCTTTCTCCCGTTCTTTAGCACACATACTCATATATATAGAATTTCCCATGTAGTATGTCTCTTATGTCTGTCTAAATGTGACCTGCTGTAACAAGACTAACATTTTTTGCAAGTGACAGAAGTCTTATTTGTTCATAAGAATTTTGAAAGATATTTCTAATTTGACAAGTTCAGTGGTACAGGGTGCTTGCTGCGTTAACACAGTAGAAACGGAATTATTCAATTATTTCCTTCCTTAAGTTTAGGAAAGTTCTTGTGTGTGTTGGATACCGTCACTAAATAACAATGGATAAATGCTGAATTTTTAATGACCACTGACTACTATATTAATAATGAAAGTCTTGAGAAATAGTTCACAGATTTATTATTAGTGGATACCCTGCTAGAGTAGTGCTACTGTGTGTTCAAAACAAAGAAATGTGATGAATGTTCAGCATTCACTTCACTTAAAAAAAATCACGCCCTGTGCATTATGTGGCTTTCCTAAGAAAACTCCATCTGTTATGAATTAAGTGAAATACTATTTTCTTTACAGTAAGAATAATGGTATGATTTTTTTCAGGTTTTTTAGAGAAAGGAAGATGACATAAGCTCTAGCAGAGATATTTTGCTTTCAAATTCTTCTTTTGAACCTTGCCTGACTACCAAAGCAGCCTGTGGTTCACAAATGGGCTGTGCTCATGGGAGCAGATTATTATATGTCTGCTCCGACAAATACACCTGAAGAGTCTGGCATTTAAATGGAGCCCATCAGAGAAGAGCTCTAGCTAGGGCCTGACCTTTTTTGTATAGCTCTCTAATCAGCATGCTAGTTGGTTATTGTTACACTGTGCTATAAGGTGTGATCTCTGCAGTATACATTTCCATCTTAAGGGGAAAGTGGTTGCATGTATATATCCTTACTGACCTTGACTTTTACTTTTTTATGAAAATATATAAACTCATATTGAGGAGACAAACTCACACTTTCTTGCATTTTATTTAAAACAGCTTATTTGGGAAGAGGATTGGAGAAATAAGTGGGCTAATAGGGCTGTTTTCCATTATTACTATAATACCTTTGGCTGCAAGGAGCGTTTCTTAAAAGCAGCCACAGTGCTTCGTTGTATTTAGTTATACTGGACGTGAGCTTTGTCACTGCCTTAGCTCTTCTGTGAGCACTTGTGGCTGCTGTCGGTCAGAGTACGGCTGAGTGCTGCTGTCCTCAGCGTGAGCAGGAAGGATGTCTTTGGTCCTTACTGTTTTTATGAAGAGTTGCAGGTGCTTCGGTTGTTTGAGGGTGGGGACGCTTCACTTATATCTGTTTCCATTTATACAGCCACTGCTTCTGCCTTTGTGGAAGCCATGGTAAAACTCACATGTGACCACCACCTTTCTTCTTCCATCATGTTCCTCTCCTTTCTGATGGCCAGTATCATAATATTTGCCTGTGATGTAGGAAGAAGAAACCTCTTAGGAAGCATGGGATGTCTGAGGACACATGGGTAGCGCTGTGGCCCAGAGACCAAGCCTGTCAGCCTTACAGTGGTCTTGATCTGCAAGGGGAGATCTGGGCCTTAAATTAACAGTTTGCTCATGTAAATAGGAAAAGGTCCTGTAGTGTTATGTTGTCCCTCATTAATAAAAATGAGTGAGCCAAGCAGATCCTACCTTCTGTCTGACTATATATGTGGGGTAAAAGCAGTTTTTCTGTGTTTTTATTGTTTTCTAAATCCAGCCTGTTTGTCAGAACAATTCGTGATCACATCATGCAGATTTTTACAGGAGATTATTTCATACAAACTCACATATGTAGCATATAAAAGTCAAAGACAAAAATCAAGAAATACAGCCATCGTTCTTGTTGCGGGCTTTTTTTTTTGGCCTCGGTTACTGTTGCTCATTATAAATTTCACCTCCAGCAGTTTGTTTTTCTCTTCACTTATGCAGAATGCTCCTTCTTTTGAGTCATCCTTGTCATGTTTCTTCCCACAGCTAAACGCTACTGTAAGAATTCAAGTCCAACCAGCAGCACAACAAGCAGTTATGCCCCTAGCAGCAGCAGCAATATGAGTTGTGGTGGAGGCAGCAGTGCCAGCAGTACCTGCAGCAAGAGCAGCTTTGACTATACTCATGACATGGAGGCAGCGCACATGGCTGCTACTGCTATTCTGAATCTCTCCACTCGCTGCAGAGAGATGCCTCAGAACCTCTCCACTAAGCCTCAGGATCTCTGTGCGAGGGTAAAAATGAGTAATTCTGTTTGTTGATGAAGATTTCTCTTTACTGCACTTGCGCTGTGGCCCTGATAGATAGAAGAATAGCTTTAGTACATCTTGCTTTTTTTTTCTTTTCCTCAAAATTAACATAATCTGGTGGCTCTGCTAAAGCAGAGGGGGAAAAAAAAAAAAGATGCAAATTGCTCACAGGTATCTCGGGAAATCCGGGTTGGTATATAAACTGATGATACTGATATCATGTACTCCTTTTTTTAATTTGTCTCTTACTAGTGAGATCTATAATTATAAAAGATGTTTGGATTGCTCAAGTGGTATTAATTGCACTACTGATTTTTTTGCTAAACACAGTCTGATTCATACATTTTGTGAAAAGATTAAGATTTACCGATGTATTTTCATTTAAAATTCACAAATGGGACCTAATGTTGTAAGATGTAGTATGAAGAAATCTGTGCTACTTGTATGTTATAATTTCTTGCCTGTCTGTGACATCACAGTCTTAAGTCACTGCATAATAGATTTGAAATGAACAAATCTTCCAGTACAGGTGACTTTAAATGTGCTTAACAGTAGTACAGAGTCACTAATGTTCATAGAGCCTTTTGTTGTTAAGCTATATATATAAAGAAAAACAGTGCACTATTAGCATTCATTAAAGATTTCCCAGAATATTTTTTTTTCATTATGAACTTTAAGTTTTGACTCTGATTGCTGTTAAGAAATGAGTATTCTAACGTGCACCAGCGAACAGTACAGTGCTACCTATAGGAGACCACTAGATGGCTAAGTAGACAGATGCAGTGCAGGGGAAACATTTTTATTGTGCTTATAGAGAGCTTTTGAGCTGGCAGACATGTTCTGTTCTTCTACATATAGACAAAGGTTTTCCTCCCCTCATGGTGTAAAGCCCCTTGATCATTCCTAACAAACTAAGCCTATAGAAGTAAGTATTAGTAATAATCATGATTTGAGCCAGAATGGCTGGTGACTTTGTTTTCAAATGCTGCTTTTGTATTAATTTATTTAATACTGTTCAAGAGAGAAATCTCTTTCTGGCGTGTAAATAAATGCAGTTGTTCTCTATATCAACACGATGGAAAAAGTTGGAATAAAATGCTAAAAATCTTCAATGTCAAAACCAAAAGGGGCTTCTTTCCTAATGTGTCACCCTATATTGAGACTGAAGGAATGAATCTGAGAAGATAAACAAGTACTTTCTAAATTAAATTAGCAGGATAGCAGCAATTAGATACACGCTCTGACAAAAGGCAGTAATTCAGAAAGAGAGATCTGCATTCACAGTGCTTTCCTACAGCTCTGTTGTTACTCAAGAGAAGAGAAAATCGCCAGACATACAAGGAGTCAGTTGCATTCACATTAGTTTTGAAATGAAATTTCTTGTGGAGTGTTTCATTTTTGAAAAGATGAGGGATTCTTTGTGGGCATTTTAATTTTATCTGTCCTTAGCTTTTTAAAATTTCTCTTAATTTTAAGATATCTTATTTCTCCTCATCTAATATGATAGACAACCCTTGTTTGTTCCTATAAAAGAAAAAGTCAGCGTCCATACTCACCCTAGTTTTCACAGTAACTCAGCCGCCGCAGAGATTGGCACAACTATTGTTGCAACTATTCTCCTACTGAAATTTATTGATTATAGAGATATATATATGAAGTGTTAATACATTTACATTTGCAGGGAAGGAACTGTGAAATTTGCATGTATTTCCTCATTGGCAAAAGGTATCCAAAAGGCCTTGTTTTGGTACCCTACCTCTCTGTTTAATTTTATGGCATTATCTATTCAAGCATTGACTGTTATTGTTAAATAAGCAAAGAAACAAAGATTATTTGATGCTATCTGGTTTTTGTTACTCTAATCACCCAGACAGATGTCAGGACTGGGTAACAAGAATTATGCAGATGTTAACATATAGACAGTCACCTGTCACAGAATAAATCAAGAACATAAAGACAACGACAAGAAAATACATTTAGAAATTTCTCCTTTTTATTCCAAATTTTGCACCTGTGTGGCATGAGGGGTAATGAAGAGTCTCCCCTCTTCCCCCAAAGATCAGATTAACCATTCAGGGAGAAATCTACTTGAACAGCATTAATGTTGTGTAACAGCATCATGCTATGTGTGGGAGGGGGCTCAATGCTTACAATCTATACAGGAATGGAAAAGCGTTTTATCATTCTGCTAGGCAATCAGATTGAAGAAGAGGTAACAGTTTGCTAGTGTGAAGCTGAATTAACAATATTTTTCTTATTTTGACAGAATCCTGATATGGAAGTCGATGAAAATGGGACGTTGGATCTGAGCATGAACAAGCAGAGGCAGCGAGATGGTTGCTGTACCATTTTGACACCACTGGAGCCAATGTCCCCACAACGGCAAGCCGTGATGAACAACCGGTGTTACCAACTGAACGAGGGAGACTGCTGGGACTTGCCAGTGGACTACACTAAAATGAAGCCCAGTAGGATAGATGAAGATGATTCCAAAGAGATTAATGTATGTCTTTTTCATCTATTAGTTCTTGTTGCAATCTAATTTTGGTAATTCATTAGATTTCTGAAATTTGGAGGGAAAAACAAAATTAATATGTGATAAAAATGGTGGTTTTCTACAAAAAGGACTTTCTGCTGGTTAGTCTTTAGGACTGTATCATGCTGGCACACATCTGATCTGTGACTAAGTTCCATAAGACAACTTTTGAACCATGAATGTGAATCATGTTTTCTAACAGCATCATCTTGTTAACAAATATTTTCTGCAGTAAAGATGTTTTGCTATATCCAGATTGCATTACTCTGTATAAGCAAGTTGGCATAACTGTGTAATACTGGGATAATCAGCTCTCAAGACAAGATATTCTCCTAAATTTGAAAACCATAAATGATGTGCTGAGTATTTGAAAGCATGTATTACTTAGAAATCAAGTTAAACAAAAGCAGCAGAGTATAATATAAGCTTTCAACTCTTGAAGCTAATCTTCTTCTAGATTACTTGCACACTCGTGATAGCTCTGTGTGTGAAAGGGCCTGTATTAATGAAATACTTTCTTTCAAGAATACAAAGAAGGGATATTAGAAATCAGTGTACCTTTAAACTCATAATACCAAGACAACAGCAAAACCTTTAAACAAAAGAGGCAAATAAAGAAAATGTGTTAGTGAATTTATTTTACTTTTCAAAACTTAGAATGGCCAGGACACTGAAGAGGTCTGCTGACAAGGTTCAGTGCCGCTGCTTTTGTTCATCAGGTTCTAGCCCTTATCTACTGTGCAGTTTACAATCCTGCTGTCAATGTAATTTAGCTCTTTGGAGATTTCTAGAGATTGTTCTCTGTTTTTTCTTGGTTAGTAACAGAAAATTAGGCTAATTGTACATAAAACTATTTTCAGTAACTTTGAAACATATAATGAAGTGGCATTTTCACTAGATACACTGAATGCCTTCTAGCTTTGCTGTTAATTACAGTTTTGCTACTAATTTCACTGAAGTTAGGAGGAAATCTGTCACTATCAAGGAAACGTGGGGTAAACCAGACAGTATAGGGTGTTTTTTCCAGAGCGAGCAGAACTCCACATTTCCACTGTGGTGTTTATAGCACCATCTGCAGGAATCGCTGATTCAATGCATTCAGCCACTTCATTCCTGAAATAGATGATTTTGGATTTCTGAATGCATCAGTAAAGTTGATTACAAATTACATAATTCTGCTTTTCCAGACATGTCCACTGAGGTTTGCCCCAGATTGAGAATCTGTGTGTAGATGTTAAGATTGCGCCTGTTTCATCTTTGAGATGTTCTAAAAGATGAAAAATGTTACTTAAGATGTCTTTCTGATGCCTAAGGTGCTGTATTTAGTCATCTTTTTTCCCTTTCCTTTGTTTTGCAGTGACTTTAGGAAAAAATACTGATTCTTTTAAAGCAAAATAATATGACAGCTATAGACAAAGCTGGTTTGCCCTTTTTTTTTTCTTTTCTAGTTAAATAAACCATATATTCCACATATTGTGAGGTCTTCATCACGATATCCAGATACTATTTAAAGGTTTAATAGGTGAAAGAGTATAAAATAATTTTATTAATTTTCCCTGGCAGAATACAATAAAGAAGGAGATAACATCTGATGACTCTGCTTTGCATTATTTTGTGTAGGTTGTAGCCTCACCTAGCTGAAACTAATGCGTATGTATTTGCATGTAGCCAGAAGATTTGGATCCTTTCCAAGAGGCGCTTGAAGAAAGAAGGTATCCTGGTGAAGTTACAATCCCAAGCCCTAAACCCAAATACCCTCAATGCAAAGAGAGCAAAAAGGATTTAATAACGTAAGCATAATGTGAGGTGAAATTATTTTTTTCCTTTTAACCTTTTCTCTCTTTGTCTTTTTTTAAACAAACGAGTACATATACGCCTTGCAGTATGAGCATGCAACATTTGCAGCATATAAATGTTTCAAACTGCCAGTTAAGTAAAGTGATAAGCTAACGTGTATTTGCTTGTTCTTAATGATGCTATATTGTATTGAGACGCCATTTTCATTTAAACCTGTTCATTTTGCAGCTTTTCGATTAGGATGCTTAAAACCCCTTGCAGTCATTGCAGCTAAACTGGAAACAATGAAACTTTTAAAAGTTTTTTTTTAAACATACTTACTATTTTGGCTGTTTTTGTTTTTGTTTGGTGGCAGATGTCCAACACCAGGGTGTGATGGGAGTGGTCATGTGACTGGTAATTACGCCTCACATAGAAGGTGTGACTTCATTTTTTTCATGGTGGATTCTGTCTTTTCAATTTATTGTTTTCAGCTTACCTCAACAATGCTGTCAAAGTAAAACGTTGAACTATGTGTTAACCCTTTGAGTAATATATGTTGATCTTAAAAGCATGCTAATTTGTGTGTTGTATAAACGTCTTTTATTTTTAAATAGATTACTAAAATTTCCAAAGTCTTCTTAAGCATTTAAGTAGTTAACCCAGGAATCTCAAATATTCTTTGTTACATTTTGCTAGTTCATAGAGAAACAAACAAACAAAAAGAACATTTACAGTATGTAATTTTGGAAGTAAAATTGATACCTAAATATATTCAGAGGGTTAACTATATTACAAAATTCAATATTACAGCACTTGCCCCATCGCTTTTCTGCATTACAAACTTTTACTTTTTAATTTTTATGTTGTGTTTGTTTGGGAGTGTTCAGTTAATGAGAAGATTAACTTACTTGTATGTCCTGCCATGTCTTACAGTTTATCTGGCTGTCCCTTGGCTGACAAAAGCATTCGAAGTATGCTGGCCACAAGCTCACAAGAACTCAAGTAAGATATAAAAACCAAATATTTTCTTTATAAATATTTATAAATAGTTTTCTTTATAAATAGTGTATAGTTGTGTCAGAAATTAGAAGTGCTGTCTGGAGAGCTGCTGCAGAAGGGGCTGATCCTGCTTGGAACATGGGTTGAAGTCTCTAGAAATTTCATGCAAGCTGGCTCTATACATAAGTCTGTTGACGTAGTATTTCCTTTTGTGTATTCATTAGGTGATAGGGATGGACTAAAGTCAGAACTTCTGGAATTTTATCTAAATGTTTGAATTCCTATTCAATTTTTTTCTGAACGTTTGAGTTCACTAGTTAGAACGGAAAATTCTCATGCGATTAGACTAATGCAATACTTCTGATTACTCAACCAGTAAAGTGCTGTAGTTTCTCAGACATAGATTGGAGAAAGTAATTTGTTTTTCCCTAATGCTTGCATAATTTTCCCCAGGTTTGTATCACTGTTATCAGCTTAATGCATTTTCTCATTTGACTATGTTTTTTAGTGTTTACTTAGTTATTCCCCTACTTAAAATGCATTGTTTACAATTCCTTTCAGTTCTTTGGAGTGACAATTGTGAGCAATGAAAATTAGAGAATCACAAGACTTAGCTTTGATCTGTCTTCCTGCACCATGTGCTCAACTGCAACTCTGTATGTGGAAGAACTATAGCATTTGTTAGTGCTATGAGATAATGGTACTCCTGAGTTGGTACTATGGTTAACATGGAAAGATGTTGACAAGTAACGAGGAAAAATTGGGTAGCGAAAGTATGAACGGATAGCTTGTGCTGCCATGCTAAGCAGTATTCTGTCTTTACCATACACGAGTGCCTTAAATAGCATTTTTTGAGTTCAGTACATACCCTGATGAAAAAAAACAAACCTTGGTGTAAAGTGTGGAAAGATAAGAAAGCAAGCATGAGAAAGCTACTGAAGATTACTCTTTAGTCTTAGCTACTTTAGTCACTAGATGCAAACAATAGGTACAAAATTCACAATTTATTTCCCACCCAGTCAAAAATAATGCTTTGAAACTATCAGTTTAGGTCATGCTGGTATATGCTGCTAAAGGCGATGTGATACGCAAGGGGAAGGGATGTAAATGAGATCAGGGAAAACACGTAAGTATAAGCAGAGTAGGAGACATAATCTCAGAGAAACTCAGATTTGGACCTAGATTTTGTGTTGGGATGGGTCAAGTGGTAGATGTTCAAGGAACTGTAATTACATAAGCAAAACACAGACAAGACTCTTGGGGAAGCACGAATAATACTTTAAGCACATACTTTGCTGCTTTAACCCTTCATAAAGCTTCCACTTGTGTTAGGAATGTGTTCCTGAATTACCCCAACTCCTCTGGCTTTCTCAAGCATCTGTAGTCAAGCCTATGTAATAGAGACCAGGAAGGAAAAAAAAACACTTAAACTTGAGACCCCACTCCTGTCTCATGCCATTCTCTCTCCCTATTTCAGATTTTGCTTAAGCAAAGAGAACGGGATTAAGTCATACTTAAAGTTACATTTTTAGGTTTGGCATCTACTATTTATTTAGTATTTAGCTTAATTTGGTTTTTTAGCAGTTATTGTAATACCTATTGAACACATAAAATCTCTGTAAGTGAATTAAAAATTTAGGAAATGCCAGAATTTTAAGCAGGCTTATTTAAATCAGTTCTCTTTTGCATTTTTATTACAAGGCAATCCTTCATTTTCCGATCATATATTTTTCCATAGAATAACAAGATAGTTCGCTGCACAGGGCAGACAGTAATCACTGCATAAGCAACTAATGAATTTCTTCTGTTTTCCTCATTATCTCAAGTGTAGCCCTGTCTGTTATTCACTGCACTTTTCTCAAACTGTAGTCTCAAGATGTAACTACTAATTCACTCACACATTTGTCACTACCATTACATCTGAGTCTCTGACTTAACTTATCTTTGTTCTAAAGGAATTAATTTATTTTCATCTGCAGTTATACTCTGAAGTAAGTCAGGATTGGTATTATCCCCATTTTAAAAGCCAGAAAACTTAAGCATATAATTTTGATTGCTCAGTTTGAGACTTCTAGAACTCAGTTTGTCGTGGTTCTTCATATTGTAGAGAACTCTGTGTGCTCAAAGCCAAGTACCCACTGAATTTACTTGGAGCTGTGGGAATTTAGCAGTTCTACATGATGAGTGATTGACCCTTGTGAAAAGGGATGAACTCTACCGAAAAAGCAGGACCGAATCCAGTGTTCCAGAACAGCCATGGAACTATTCTTCCTCCTCCCCCAAAACTCTGATCAGCCCCAGCTTCCACTCTGTCCGTTCACTCTGTCCTGTTTTCCTTCATCATTTTCTCTACATTGCTCCTTGTCTCGAGATCCTTGTCTAATCAGCCCATCTCCTGCCTCCATCACATTTATATTTTTATTGTCCTCTAGCTCTACATCCTGCTGAAGTTAGTACAGAGAGAGAAATAAAACATCTCCGCATTTCTCACATATATTCAAAAACAGGGAAGTAGGAGTCTTATGGATGGCAGCATCCTTTATACAGTTCTCATTTATGCTCTTGTTCTCTGCCTAAGATGGAAGAAGATGTGATCATGTAAATGATAATGCGTATGCACAAACAGCTAAACCAAAGCTACATAAGCGATTTTGGTTTGGGAATTTTTAACTGTGAAGTACTTCATTTACATCTGTTATATTTCTGTGTGTGAGGTCTGGGGATATAATTTCCTTGCTTTTAAAAAGAGCAAGCTGAAAAGAAGCAGAAATTCCGTAATGTGTAATGCTACTGGCTCTCTGTCAGGCCACCAACCACCGTGGGAACTTTTGATATCTGCTATATAGGTCACCTGAACTACTGTGTTAGCAAACAGCAGTAGAAGGTATAACGCTCCGCATGGACTGGCACCAGGAGAGGTGGGGAACATTGCTGGTGTGTTTCATACATATTTGCTGACAGCAGAAGAGTAGTGAGAATCAGTAACCTTGGCTCCTGCCCCAGGCTGTAGAGAGAAATGTATACACATTTTTTGCCTATATCCCAAGCTGAGATCCCTTCTGTCCTGTCCCTACCAATCTGTACTGTTCTCATCACTTCTTCAGCTTTTATTGCCTGTTCCAGTTTTCAATGTAGTTTTTTCCAGTCATCCATAAAGATTTCAACCTCTGTAAAATTTCTGGAAAATACTTTTTTAATGCGTGGGGTACAGAGAACAGTTGATAGTGCGGTAGAAGAATTGGTAGTGCAGCATAGGGATCATATTTCTGGACTGCATAGTTTGGAAAGATTTCATACTTCTGTGGCTTTACTGTGCATAGCTTATGTAGCAAATATCGCATATTTGCTGGTAAAGCCTTTATATCACATTTTACCAATCCATGATCTCCTCATGTTTATTGTATACCACACGCAAGTTACGTATCATGCAGCTTCCTAACTGGAATTTTGCTGACGCACTGATTTGTTTTATGCCCCAATTAAAACAGAAAATAGCAGACACTTCAAATAATATTCATTAATAATATCATTCAGGTAGTATTCATAATCAAAATAATATGAGAATCTGAAAAGGTTAGACAAAAGTTTATTTTGCTTAACAGTTATGCTGTGTTGCCTTTTGGTAGTTGTGGCTCCATAGATTACGTCACTCACATTTCCTGGCTCCCAGAATAATAATTTTACAGCTTTCAATTAAATTATTCCTGGGTCAGCATAATTATTCCTTACCACCCATGCTTCTCTTCTATAAGGCTTCTTGCTCAGGTTTACCATGCAGATTGTACAATTTTCCACTTTCACCCAAAGCCCAAGTGGAAACACAAGAGTCTTTGTGCATAGTTTATCAGCAGACCGAAGCAGTTACACAGCCTGGTCAATGATCTCCAAATAACAGAAGAATTTCTTCAGCCTTAGTTCTCAGTTACTGCTGCTGGCAAAAAAAGAGGTCAACAGCTTTAAGAGTCTCTGAAGAAATTAATATCTGGCAAGAATCCAAGCTTTTCCAGCATTAAGAATTTGGTTATAGTACTTGTGAAAAGCAACTAATTTTTAAAGGACCTAGGGACACTGTATTGATAAGTAAACTTAACTATGGTGGGAAAGCAATTAACAGCCCACCCAGTGACAGCTACCAATATTAAAATATTCATAAGTTAAATCCAGTTTAATCTTACTCAGGGGCTTTTCCTTATCAGTTTTCTTTATTTACTCCTTGTCATAGGAGGTTTTTCTAGCAGTTACAGTTATTTCAAAAATGTAATCCCATTGTAGAATTATAAATACTATAAAAAAGCAACATTTTGAAGCACTTTAAATCTTATTGAAAATAAAATTTAAAACCCCCCAAACCTAAAATTAATTATTGTTTTTAAAAGGACACATTTTGATCGTCAGTAAATGAATCCCAGCCAAAATGCAGTATACTGACTGAGAATATTTCTACTCAGTGTACAGCCAACGTGGGAACCAGAGAACCTGGGTACCAGAGACTCCAGGAAAATTACAAACTTAGTTCTATTTAGTGCTACTTTGATGTAAAAATAATAATGGTTTTTCAAAGGCCATAGGTAACTAAATGTTAGCTTGGTCTACTGAGGAACTTACTATCAAATTGTCAATATTTACCCTTGGTCCTTTGGGTCAGTTTTCTGCCAGAAAATCCCATTAGTACTTACATTAAAGAATCTGAACCTCGGAAAGGTTTGCAGTTCAACTGGGTGTCTACATCTGATACAACCGGGTACTTATCTGATACTGTTGTAATATGCCCAGTGCTTCAGTCCCAAAGCATCTGTGTCACTCTGTAGATTTTGCATGTCATTCATTGTTTTCTGTGGTGGACATCTTTTGGTATTCCCCCACGGCCCTTACAAGGAGGAATACAGTCTCATTTCCTTCTCTACAATGCAGCCTGAGAGCTTCTCTTTTCCACATCTCTTCTTAACTCAAAGTGAGGAGCTTAGTCTATTTTTGCACATTCTCCATGATCAAGTAAGGGTTGG